AGGAGATTCTGCTGGTCCTGATTTGAACCGACTCACCTGCATGTGCCAGTCCCGATCTCAAAGGATGAACTCTGGTCTTTCATTTATAACCTCATAAAGCCCTCCGATCTCCAGCCTTCGGCTATCGTTCAAAAAGTGATGAGGTCGCCGACTGAAAGCGCAGCGTGAACATGCTGCTAAGAGGTCTTGACAGAAAACAATTGCCCATTAGCCAATTAGGATCGACTGGAATGGCGCTGGGCCTCGTGTGGCTGGGACCCGAAACAAACATTTGGTGCGCTCTCTTGTCCGCGGTTTAGTCATAAAAATTCTCATTCTTAACAATGACCATTCCCGGAGAAAATGAATTATGGTCTGAATCTTCTTTTGTTAGTCTCCCAATGGAATTTTGCACTTTACTTTTTTGCTCACGAAGATTTGTCGTCGTGCTACTGATAACCCCACCCCTCTACCCTACCCTTTTCCAGCCCTCGGGCGTCTTTCAGATGGGTTCAGCTTTTTGCTGAGACCAAATGCTCTGCTTAATCCGCTTCAATGGGGTCACAGTCGTTATTAGTCTCCTCAAACAATTGCGCTCCGTGCCCTCGATCTGTCCAGCTGCTTAAATGGCTGCCCGCCTGGAGACTTAACCTCGTGTCGGAGCGATGTTCTCCGCGTCATTGATAAGGAACATCTTGAATAACCTGCTCCCCCGGGCGCACGCCCACCGGTTTCCACCGCATTGCTCATTGTAATTTGTTTCTTTCCCGACCATATAATTCTCGCTCGCCCCACTAAATCTTCATCAAAGACATCCACAAGTTTATTAATCAAGATTCGTGGGTGGTCACCTGACCACACTCGTACTCACTGGAACATCGCCCTTCTTGAGATCGCCTATCTTAACTCTTCTGACTGCATTGACTTCTTGTTTTTTCCCGATTGCTTACTACCTTTTTTCCAGGTTGTTTACATACATTTACCATTTACAGCTGAGCTGAGTAATTTGCCCACCCACTCTCGTAGAAGAAACATTCTTGCTTGCTTACCTGGGGTTCTACAAAACACGCTTCAAGCGATAAAATTTCATTCCATTTAATGCTTCATGTCTTCTTCGCGTGAACCCCCCGTTCCGGAAGTACCGCCAAAACAATGTTCAATTAATGTGCCCATTTTTTATAGCGCTGCCGCAGAACCACATAATTGTTCTTCTCATGACCCCTATCGCAGGCAAAAAGAAATAAAATGAAATTTACCAGGAAAACATGATAAAACTGTCTCTTGAGAATCAGCCGTCCAAAATTGAAGAAGACCGAAATGTGAAGGTGTTTCAAAAATAATTTAAAGGAGGATTGCACGGAAAGAACGAAGGTCGAAGAAGGGAGAAATCGCCTAGTGGGGAGAGCGGTGAATCTCTTGAGGGTGCGGACAGACACGCAATCGGCATCGAAAGATTTGACCTCTGAGATCTAGCATGGCTCAAAGTTGGCGAGTTCGGCGATCTCCGCCCACCGATCGTCTGATCACTCGCCGTAGTACAATTAGGTGACTCATGCATTACGAATAGCTAGAGAGAGCCGTAGGGTCTGGAGAGGGCAAACAATAGCGAACCTCCCATTCAAATGCTCAATTAAACGCAAAGGACAGGGGTCCCCATTTCACCGGTCTGGGCCATTTTTCGTTGAGTTTTCCGCTTCATTCTGTACCTACTCCCCCCATCTCACCGTCAAACTTGAATCGGCGTATGACTTTTCCAATCAGTAACTTCCGGCTCCTCTCTAAGCAGCCTACATACCTCTACAATGGAACTCGTATCGATCCGCCCTGTCACGAAGTTGTTCCGCGAAGCTGACTTGAAATTGTTGCTTTAGTACTAACAGTTGTTGTTGTTTTGTATTATTCTTGTTATAATTCGGCCATTCTCCCTCTCGCCGATTATGGCAAAGGTAATGTGTTGGGACGACATGCAGCTTACCACAACTTCCTAATCGAATCCCTTCCCACAACTTCCTAATCGAATCCCTTCCAGGCCAACCAAGCCTCTCATCTTTCTGGCATCGGTTGGAGGATTCAAAATTTTTGGGAGGACAAAAACGCAGTCATTTGCAGTGAATCGCATTGATAGCAACTCATTTTATAGGTGAAATCCCACTCAAGGGTCACTGGGATTCTAAGTGGAATTAGAATGTGTGGCGCAGCCTCAGATTCTAATTCCACTTAGAATCCCAGTGACTCTGAGAAAAATGGTTACTATCAAGTACTTTTTTGATCGACTTCCTTGTGCTTTCTCGCGTTTGCTATATGGAGGTTACTGATATGCTTGTTCCTCAAGCTCCCGTCTGACCGACGGATTTCTAATTGGGTGTTCCCTGGTGGAGTTCTTTAACTTAGTTTTTAGGCTCTCTAAATTGTTTTTAGAGGCTCTGGATTCGCAATGTTCCTCATTGAGTGACTTTTTGTCCTAATGAGGACAAGCCGTCACATTGCCCTGTTCTCATGTTCCTTAGACCTATGTTCTCAACTAATGGTTCGTCCTCCGCCGAGAGATTTACCCACCAGCTCTCTTCGGCCTTGTCTTTTTCATTGAAAATTGTTGAGTGAATTCCTAATCTTCCCTATTCCAGCGCCTAGAGACTCTCTTGCTCACTTGGACCATAGCATGTTCATCAGCCGCCGAATCCAACTGTTTCGGCACTCACGCAGTTTCTGTCCATCTCCGCCTCACAAGAAAATCCTAAATTGACAGGTGTGTGTGTTACCTTCCTCACCTTGCCGAGTGTAAAAACTCGAGCGCAGCTGTATGTGGATGTGTGGTGCTAGATTGAAAAGACTGCCTTAGAAACAAGGGGAAAGGTGCATGGCACCTGTCGTAAACCACCAAGCGGTTCGGATTGACATCCTGTCGGAGTCGCCCGGCCAACCTAATCCTTTCCATCATCTCCGTCGGGATGGACCTAAACTTGTCTTGAGGAAAAAAAAAAAACACTGACTTGAACATCGGCTGGCCCCCGCAAGTCATTGTATGGCCACCACATCGCATTCAAACGCCACTACGAATGTACAAATGGAAGTAGAATGCGTGCCGCATCCCAAAACGGGATTGATCAACGGCAAATGCTTTATCCTTCTTTTATCTTAGAAACCAACAGCGATTGGGAGCAGTAGTGAGGGTGGACTTAATTACTGAGTTGATGTCATCAACTGCTGAGTTACTGATACTCTGAAACCTGAATTTTTTTATTAAATTGTTGTAAAAATAATGTGAGACCACTCCACCCATGCTTATTTTAATGAAGAACATTTGCCAATGCAACGAGAAGATACATATAGTTCACTGCTCCTCTATGCTTGCTATGACAAGACAAAGCCACCTCTCTAGTTATTACGCATACGAATTGCTGCAGAAAGTTAGCAGTGTAGATCGTCCCTGGTCAGGTCAAAGAAGTGCTAACTCATAGGATATGTGAAATGGCCACTGAGCCGGTAGCGAGCACCGCCGCCGCTGCTGCTGCGGCTGCTGCGCGCCATGCCGGCCTAACCAGCAAGGGTACACTAATCGGATTCTCATTAATTGCCCGTGTGAATGGGTGCTGGCATGTGTGTGTTGGACATTGTCGAATGCAAATGATCGAGCCATTTCCAGCGCCTCTATCGATCTCAATTTTACTTTAGTCACGTAGTTGAAACTGAACGAGGACCTTCACACCGCCAAAGTCACTCTCATTAATCATTTTCGCGCTTTTTTCTACTCTAAAATTCTTTTATCTCAACCGCATGTGTAAACATTTTTCCTCTCGTCGCAGGGTTTTCGCCCGCTTTTTAGTTGACAGATTTGCTTAACATTTAAAACGCTTCTCTGAATAAATAGATAAATAATTTGATACAGCGAATTAATTAATTAATTAATTTAATACAGTGAATGCGTCTCTGACTTTACCATAGCACCATATGACCAAATCAGACGAGAAACTGGAAAGTCCAGTCCTAGAGTGCGCCATGCACTCGTATCACCTTTGTAGTTGCACATGATGATACTGTGCTATTAAGTACGGCATCATTTGGCTGCTCATTTCTAGCATTTTCGTGTATCCGGTCAAACCAATGAAATCACTTTTGATATAACAATGGTTTCTGTAACCTATATTTATGCTTACATTTTATTGCTTGACTTACTTTACCAGTTTTGGTACCATGATTGTAAAAGCGGACCTAGTCGCGTGCAGTCGCGACGCGTATGCTGACTGAATCGATATGCATCCCCTTATCGCATATTGCAGATGTAATGGGCCGGTGTCAGACTTTGCGAATCGCTCCATTCGCAAAGTCTGACACCGTTCATATGTTTAGGGAGTAACATTTCATTTTGACCATTTAAAACTGTCTTTTTCCGAGTTCTCAAAAATTGTTATCGTGACGTTTTAGTGGTAACCTATATCAGCTTTTCACTTTAAGCTACGAATCTTTCAGGGCATGTTGGCCTCGTCGCCGATGATGACATCATCGACGAAACGTCGCGAAATCGAGCTGAACACACATCGGAGCGACAAATTTGAACAAAATGTGGGTTGAAATGTCATTTTGTTGTGCAAAGAGTATGAATAATTGGTCCTATTTTTTGAGATACGAATAATTAATAATTAAATGATAGTTTTACTCTTCTGAAAAGTTTCGATTTTCCATTTGCCGTTACAAAACATTCGGTGTTCTGGTAATCGGTTTTTGGTCGCTAGTTTTCTATTTTAGCAATAAAATGAATGACTTGCCATCTTTGTTTTATGGAGTTCTTTTGTCTCCTCAGAAAGTTCTTCTCTTCTCCACTTCCGAATTTCCGATTGCCGGACTTTGAGATAATCAAACAGCAAGGTCCTTACGCCGTGGGTGAAATAATGAACATTGTTTAAAATTACTTGAATTTCAGGATATCGTCGTGGACGCTTTGGGCAATGTGCTCAGTGGCTCTCCGGAAGCGCTAATTGCACGTCTACTTGCCCACTCGAAACAGCACGGCGGACACTAACTATATGTTTAGTTTACTGCTAAACTTACGTACTGTAATGTCACCCGAGGAACTCATGCAAAAAATTGTGCAGGTAATTTGAATTGACATTATTTTGAAATTTTTTTCGTTTCACGTCTTGTATTGAAATTGGAGAAAAGTCCCTGAGGGTTTACAACCATGGCATTCATCGCCTCCAGCAAGGCCACCACTCCACTCAAGACTAAAATTCGGCTGTCAAGGGAATCGTCCACGGAAAAGTCACGATTCTATCTCCCACAAAATCGCTGACAGACATCTATGATTCACGATAATAACGTAAAAAACCAAGAAATTTTGTTGTTTTCGTAAACAATTCGGAGAACCAGAAGGGCAGTTACACGTTCAAATTCCCGCCCTACATCTGTTACAAATGTTGGCGAGGGGAATCGCTGTACTTGGATCTCGTAATGCACTCATTGAAGACTCTTTTTGGTGGTTCCACTCTGCCTGTAACATTTTCTTTTCTTCTGGATCCTATATATACTATCGATCATTTTGTCTCTATTCTCCGGATTCGAACACTTTGAATCCATTCTTCCAATACATATGTCGCCTGATACGTGGTCTCCTCAAGGCGCGCTTTATTGCCACGCGTTATCTTGTTCACGCCCAACCTACCCTCGACTGTCCACAGTGTTGTCCGAAGTCCGACACTTTCATTTTTCACGTTTTATCTTTCCTGGAAAACATTGATCAAAATATAACCACCATCATAATCGCTGATATGCATCCATTTGCTAGGGAGCGAATGGATGCATTCCTCCAGAACGAGTGGAGCTGTGGGATGAAGAGTTCGGAGGTCGTTTTTGGGGTGGTTGTATTTACTGACTTTTTTCTCTAGCTGCTGCTTCAGGGAGCTGAGGAGGTGATAGTACGATGGAGTAATGTCAGGGCTATACGATAGATGTGGTGTCGTGGTCCAGCCAGTTTCCTCGAAACGTGGCCCAGTTCTCAGGGATGTGTCACTTACGAAAACTAGGTAAAAATGGACTCGAAAGCCCTTCTCCCTATGCCGCTCGGTGTGTAGTAATATTCCGTTCATTTTTAGCCACGCAAATTCCCTAGAGGGGTCCCTTACGTGACATATTGGCAGTTGACGTGTGGGCTTCTGGAGAAATCAATGAGCAATGTCCTCGAATGAAAACGCAACAAGTTTTGGGGAATTGTGTTTTTTCGCAACGCAGTGAGTGGGACTTGAAATCAAATATGAAATACTATGATATTTATGATGATGATATGAAATACTGGCTATGTTTAGATATTTCCAGACTGTACTTTTTATACTATAGACTATATTTTAAAGTTCTGATGGTTTCGAAAAAGCTTAGGTGGTGAAAAAAAGTTGCTAATGAAAGTGGGACTTATGATGGCATGCCAGCAATCCAAGTGGTTTCATATGGAATCGCAACTTGCTCCACTATTTTATGGCCGGGTTCTTACCCAAGTTTTGCCTGGTGTAAACAATTTCAAAAAACACTGGCTTACATATACATGGCAGACTCTGTGTTGTGTAGGCCAAACATTTTTCAGAATGCTATTACGACACTGATTAGAAGTGGACGCTTGGCATCCGCAAAAGGGTTGCTCTGCATAGTGCACACGCAGTTTTTCCAGCGCATTCCACATGGTGATATGGAAAGGCTGCTAATTTTACTTTTTTTCAGCAATGTATGTTCACCCAAAACGCGGATGCGGTGAATTTCTGCCGTGAAGGTCGAGATCGGATGTTTTCGCATTTGCTCCGTCTATGCCGTGAATGGGCTACCAGCATACCGCATGACTTCAGAAGTGAGCACATGCGAACAAGGTAATGATTTTATCGCATCTGTGAAGTTACTATTTGAAGGAGGATTCTACGATAAGAACGAAGGTCGAAAGAAGGGAAATTTGCATAGTGGACCTCCTGAGGGTGCTGACCGACGCGCAATTGGCAGCGAAAGATTTGACCTCGGCGATCTAGCATGGCTCACTCTTGGCGCGGTTGGCGGGGTACGCCCACCGACTATCTAATCACTCGCCGCAGGTCTATACGTGGCGAGTGATTAGATAGCAGAGAGAGAGGGCACAGCGATGAGAGTCGCATCAATGCGCAAATCAACGGGCAAGGAAGGGTCCCATTTCTCGGGTTCGGGCCGTTTCACATGGTTTCTTCTTCATCTCCTGCTTACTGACCACCTCTACCTTATTTCCAATAAGCCCTCTTCATCGTAAAATCTACCTTTAATGCATTGACGACAGCGTGGGACGCATAAGTCCGCACTTCCACATGGAGGAGAATTTATTGAAGTCTACCTCTTTCGTGGTCAATAATTGACAGCACGTATAATCGGGTTTAGAAGCTAGTACACTTTCATTAATAATGAATTTTAGTAAAATAATAATTTTGCAAAATTTTTAAAAGGGATGGGTAGATGCGCACGTAACTGGCGTCGTCAAGATATTAATAGAACCGATTCTAAAAAGTGGTATGGACATATGTAGGTTAATCATCAGAAAGTTCAGACGTATGTCACGACAATGTTCATTTGGCTAGATCCTAATCGATTGCACATGCTTTGAATTTGAGTTCGCATAGAGGTTATGGATGGGCCAAGCGACGAAAAACCATGAAAATTGCTGCAAAAGGGGTGTGGCTTTGGCAGAGTTGGTCGTAATGATGGGTTGATGGGATGACTAGTATTATCATCTACTATATGTATACTACCATTGCTTATCATGAATTACCATGATTTTTTATCCTTTCTTATTAGGTTGGTAAATAAGTTGTGATTGTATGAATTTTCAGATTGAGCGAATTGCTTGGATTGTGTGCCGTTGATCGAACGTACAAGCAACGAGCTAGCTGAACTGGCAGGCGACTCTCCGCGATCCATGTAATAATTTAGTTTTAATACTCCTTTTTTGCGTTACTTTGAACATTTTTCAACTCTCCGATATTTCAGCTGAACAAAATGGATCGATATAACAAAGCCGTGAAAAACCTTCAGAAAACTTTGAATGAGAACACACAGCGGCCAGTTCAATCGGATATCATGGTAACTTGCATAAACCTCACTGGCTAGCTTTGCATGTTACCGTGATTCGGAAAATATGAGGCGGAAAAATGGACCAATGGTGCACAGCTTGTAGAAGCTGGTGCACGTTCTAAAAAATAATAGTGAAAGGGTCCTGTCCCTTTTAATTAGAAGGTATTTTTGAAGATTTACGGTGTCCACAACAGCCTTATCTGAGTAATATTAGGAGAGATGCCGAATAGTAGGTTACAGTTCCTGATCTTTGATTTTCTCCGGGTCCTTAATTCATAACACAGTTCTTTCCCACAATCAGCCGTAGGCAACGCGCAACTTGTGAGGGTGTGGTGATCACGTTAAGCCATTCGTCTTTGGATCAAGGGTATTTAGGATTAAGTTGACATAGATCGGTGGCTAATGATTGTGCGGAGAGTTGGGGTAATTTTCATAGTGGACAATGCTATCATTGACTTAAAGGAGGAATTCACGATTAGAATGAAGGTCGAAGAAAGGGAAACTGACCTAGTTGAGGGACCCACGGACCTCCTGAGGGTGCGAACTGACGCGCAATTCGCATGGAAAAATTTGACCTCGGCGACCTATCATGCCTCAAAGCTGGCGGGTCCGGCGATCTCCGCCCACCGATCATCTGATCACTCGCCGTAGTTCAATACGTGGCGAGTGATTAGATAGCTGAGAGAGCGTAGTGTTGAAGAGGGCACAGCGATGAGAGTCGCATCAATGCTCGAATCAACGGGCAAGGAAGGGGTACCATTTCTCGGGTTCTGGGCCGTTTCTCATGGTTCTTCCTTCTTTCGTGTACCACTCACCATCCCTAGGTTAATTTGAAATGGGTTGCTTTTTCATCGTGAATTCGTCCTTTAAGTATGACTGTAATGATGTAATTAACAAGTGAACGTAGTTATAAACAGTAAACAACAGCAAGCAACGCTATGATGCATTTCGTGATCATGCCCTAAGGCACAGCTTTTATTTGGTGGCCTTACAATATTCATGTGATTTGTTATTGGTTATTTATCAAATGTATTGTTTGTTTAGTGTGGCCTTATTACGGTCTGTCCGGAACCGAAGACGATCGCTCAGCAACTAACCCATATTGAAATGGTAACTTTCAAATAGAACAAAATTTAATATTCTACAAGTGACGATGAATCACTATAATCTATCTACTACTATATTCTTAGGAACGATTCAGTATGGTAGGGGTCGATGAAATTCTCCTCGCATTGGCCAATAACGACCTCGCTGATCTGGGCCGAAATCGAGTAGGTTTATTTGAAAATTCTCTGATTAGCGATTCCTTCCAACTATTTCCACTCCTAATGTCAAATCTCGTGGTTTTGTAGCTCTTATTCGGAGGAAAACAATTTCCAAGGGGCTTTTGAAACGTTTCGCACTTAAATGCGCTCGAAAAAATAAACAATAAAATATGAAGATCGAAAACAAATCCGATATAAGTGATTTGTTCAGAACGGTCCGAATGGGTTCAATCGCCTTTTA